TATATATCTTTATGATGTACATTGTCAAAACCTAACCTCACTATAAGAAATGACATTAAATTGTACATTTGAATCAACTATGATATAAATTGTACTAAATTTGTTCAATAAAGAATAGGTGTGTTTAATTAGATGACAAATTACAACCAATTGATGTTCATAAAGAACTAATATGTTTACATTTAAGATAATTATTATTACAATATCACATTTTTGTTTTTATGTTCATTCAATACTTACAGTCGTTTGAAGATACGATTTTAAGATGGACGAAGAAACCAAGGGTAGAAAATGTATCCAGGAATAAATAATTATATTTTAAAGATCCAATATGTTTTGATATAGAACTTCCGCATTAAAATGTTAAACCTATTCAAACGTATGTTTCTAACACTTGCTTTAGGTCATGCACGACACTAATCCCTCTCCTGTTCATCTACTGAAGTAATTTTAACAATGAATTTCACTTGCCATCCGGTGGTACTACGTTAGTATTATAAATAAATAAATATAACCAGTAAATGTCGAATTTTAATGTTCATTATTTATAATATTATTTATCAATTAACACTATGAACTTCACAACATAATGTTTAAAACTTATCTTTTAACACTTGTCTTTGTTCGATTACTTTCAACACGGAACAATAACGTGTAACATTAACCGGCATTTGTCTAATACTCATTTTTTACACAATAATAACATAATGTCACTGGTGTAATATCAAATCTATAAGTTTTATGAATGAAATAATAAATAAAATTTTAAATATGGCGTACACTGATCACGTTTCAATACAAATGTACATAAATTGGTTATTTTGTTTCACTTTCTCCCTCCATGGGCCTCACTCACTTCCTATGTGGAAGTGGACATACTTTCACACGTTTACCCAATATTAACAAAGAGGGGGTGATTCACCCCCACCTTTCTAATATTTGCAGATCGTAGTTCTACTTTGTACAGGTCATTTATCCATTGTATTAATCGCGAATTTTATTTATTTAATGGTAAATAATGATTCAACGTGGTTAGATTATTAATAAATAATATACATGCATATGTATGGTTTTTTTAATCAAAAATCTATCAATAAAATTAAATTAATATTATTATTATTTCTTTGTTTACGTTTGGTTTTTCTTTGCTGTCATAATAGGTTTCTACATTACCGACACTTGGTATTAAGTATATAATCTTTACATGATAAATTTGGTTTATTCAACACTCACTGTCGGTAATATCACACTCTCCTAAAAAATTTATTTTCATTAAACAATTATTTCATTATTTTAATAACTTTTAATTTATAAGTAGAGAGAAAATGATTTAGTTTGAAATTATAATTTATCAATTAACTTAATATCAATCTATGTATTTAATTGAAAATGAATTTATATTATTTATGACTCTTTGAACATCAACATTTTTAAAGCTGTATAGGAAGGGTGCAGCCAATCAAATTAAAGTTCGTCGTTGACTGGTGTTAGTTAATCCGTGTGTCCTCCTATCTATCACTTGTTGTAGAATATGTCGTATGTCAATAAAGCCGACAATGTGAAAATTTATTAGAAAATATCGAAAACGTTCAGAAATAAAGTGTGATATATCAATTTTAAGTTAATCAATAAATTGTCATGGTATTTTTTTTTTTTTTCCAATTAATAATGTTATGTAATAAATTATAAACAAAGTAAATAAATAAAAAGATAGGTGAATATTATAAATGAAAATAAATGAAATATTATATTTTTTAAATATAGAAATAAATAAAAAAAAAAAACAAAAAGTAGGTTAGTAATAATTTTACATCTTATTACGGATACATGTTTTTACTTTTTGTAAGCTTTTTTTATCTACGTTGAAAACGTTTATATGTCTGATTACGAATTAAATAGAAAATTTTGTGAAGAAGTTCACAGAGATAAAATGGGAATAAAATGGGGGGGAAAAAAAAGATATTCAGTAAAAGAGGGTGCTTGCTCTTGACCAGATATAATACTTACTCTTTAAATTTTATAAATACATTTCAATCATGCTTGATCCTTTTATCTGTTTCATACTTACATTAGCCAGATGTAAAAAAGTATTCATCATTTCCACACCAAAAAAAAAGAAAAAAAAAAAAAGAAAGAAAGAGAAAGAAAGAAAGAGAAAGAAAGAAAGAAAGAAAAAGTTAAAGAGGGGGAAAGGGAAAGGGAAAGGGAAAGGGGGATGAAAGCTTTTGAAGCTTTTTCGAAAGCGAGCTACTCGTTAGAAACATGAGCAACCAAATGTGGTCTCGGTAGTGTCGTCGTAAAGAAGGATTTGCAATTAAGGTACAGGTACAGGGTTTTCAAGCAACTCGAGTTTCCTCTTTTTCATTCATTTTCTCTATTTCTATCTCTTTTCACTTTTTTACTTTTTTCTTTTTTCTTTTTTCTTTTTTTTGCATTTATTTCTCTATTTCTTCTTGCTACTATTACTGGTTGGTTGGTTGGTCTTCAGTGGTTTCGCGCTAAAACGTGATAACGAAAGGTAGAAGAGATTTTCTAAAAAGCTTTATAAGTTTAGCCAAAAAAAAAAGGGGGGTAAAGGTAAACCTTATGTGTAGATTAGTGGTGACAAATTCTAATCATATGCGGTTTGTTTCAACGAAAGCTGCTTAGACTTAACGTTGAATCACGTAGTAATAATAATAACCCCTCTGATATATACAGAGATTTTAACTAATTTTCTTTCAAGGATTTATGGGGCTAATATTTCAAAGCAACATCGCGTGTGTGTGACTTGGTTTTCATTGATCTTTCAATGATACAAAATTGATTATTACTAATTTCTCTTTAATTAGTTAAATATATTTTTGTTTAATTATTTTTACGAAGACTCTCGTCAAATTAATGGCTAAAGGAAAATACATATTTTATATATTAAAATTTTGTAAAATAATAAATAAAATGTTATCACACTTTGAGATCGTTTGTAAAGTGTTTAATTAAATATCCTATAAATTTGTTTCCTCCATGTTTTCAAGTATTTTAAAGTGTTTCAAATTTTCAAAGCTTGGTTAACACGTTTTTACGACTACCCTGTAAGTTATTAGAAAAAATGAGAGATTTCAAGTAGTTAGAAAAAAAAATATCAGCTGTTGAAATTGTTGAAAAATAATATTAATTATTTTGATCATTATACTCAAACGAATATTTAAATCCCCTAAACTTATATCTCAAACTAAACAAAAATATTATATTTACAAATAAAAAAAATAACCAAAAAGAAATCACTGATATTATTTAAACAATATTCCAACCAAAAATCTAATTTCAATTTATAAACCTATAAACCTATCTCATCCCAAATCCCATAACCCTGCATGTCAAATTAAACAAATATATTTTATATACAAATAAAAAAAAAAATAACAAAAAAGAAATCACTAGTATTATTTAAACAATATTACAATTAACAATCTTTTAAAGTTAAAACTGTTGAACCTGTTGTGAATTGAACTTAAAAGCAATGTCGTTAATTAAAAGTAGGATTAAACGATGGAACTTTAAAAGGGATAAAACGAGACAACAAACAGTTAGGGTAGTTCCATTCGCGATTTTACACCACTTGATCCTAAACATTGAACGTTTCTAGCTTACATTAGTAAAGGCCCGTCGTCGTCCGTAGCATTTTCGAGGACAAGGTACTCTCCTCTTGCCGAAGCAATTAATTTAACATTTCGGATGGAATTTCGTATGTAAAGTGGTGGTCGGGTTGTTTCGCGAGTTCCTTCGTAGTCCTTGATAATAATTATGTTCCACTTCTACATTATTATATATACATATATATATGCATGCATGTTCTATTCCTATATATAAAGGGAAGGGGAAGGGGGGGTGGAAACGATGTATGTATTTTAAAGAGAGAGAGAAAGAGAATGGCATATCGCCAAAAAAAAAAAAAGAAACGCACACACATAAATATAAATATACAGGCTGATTCAACAGCTCTTGTCATCTAAATAGCTCAGAAAGTATGGAAATACCACAAAAGTGGTTAAGAAAAAAGTTGTATCAAAAATTCAAGACTACAATATTACATTAGTATTTTGTTTTTGCTAAGTTCAGTCATTTTCGAGAATTTATTGGTCAAATTTGTTTTTTTAAATACAATGTTATATTTGAATACTCATTTTCGGATAGCGGCTGACAAGACGAATCTAATGATGTGCAACATCAGTCCTGAATTTTTCATGTAACTTTTTCATTATCCACTTTTCTGCTACTATCAAACTTTCGGAGCTATTTAGGTGGCAAGAACTGGTGAATCACCCTGTATATAAATATATATATATATATGTGTGTGTATATAAAAAGAGGGTAGAAAAATTTGCAACAACGAGAAGCCAAGTTGTTGTTGGATTCGGTAAAAGGAAATGAAACTGTGGCGACGGATGAAAATAAATGGCAGACTGGAGTCTCTCTTCGAGATATATATTTTTTTTTCTTTTCTTTTTTTTTTTTTTTTTTTTAATTCTTCCTTGTTCTCCACGCGAAAAGAACAAATGTATAAATTATTAGAGATCGTTAACGTCTCTCCATCTCACTCTTTCTTTTTCTGTTTCACTCTTTCGTATAACCTGAATAAATATTTTATTTAAAATGCATGAGAGACAAGATGTTTCCTCTCGGTGATATAAGATTATTGTATGGTAGTATAGTATTAAATTATACTATACAGTGTATTTTGGCACGTTGGTATTATAAGCTATTGGTTAGAAATTGGTTTGAAATATTTTATTTTAGAAAATATAATGATATTAATTTTAATCTTATAACAATTTATAGCTTTAAGTATTATTATTATTATGTATACTTATGAGATTATAATTATTATTATTTGTTAAAGTATATTTATAAGATTATATAATTATTAATATTTATTAAAGTATACTTATAAGATTACATAATTATTATTTATTAAAGTATACTTATAAAATTATAATTATTATTTCTTAATATATATAATTTTGTATATATATTATAATATTATTAAATATTACAATATTTTAAATTTTAATATATAATATATATTAATAACAATTTTAATTTTATAATATTATATATATATATTAATAATAATTGTAATTTTATATATATTATAATATAATTTTATATATAATAATATTTTTAAATATTATTATTATTATTTCTTAACAAATATATACACACATGTTAACTTAAAAAAAAATGTCTTTTCTTTTTTAATACATATCAAATATTATGTGTCGAATTAAAATTAAAAAAAAAAAAAAAAAACAAACAAACAAACAAATTGCATTAAATCATATAAGGAAAATAATCATTAAATATTACAAAATATAAAAACAATAAAGAAAATAAGAGAAATGGGATATTTAATTGAAAAGTACACATTTTATATAAAAACTTGCATAAATAGTAAGTAGACCAAAAAAAATCATAAACAATATTCGAATATTTTTAAAGGTTGATAAGATATTTTTCTCAACGCAATTTTTTTTAACGGAAGCTGCCACGCATAAAATATAATTTTCGATATCGTCATCAGCGACAAGTGGAAACGTCAATTGATCTTCCGGTTTGAGATGTTGTTGTAACGTATGGATACGATTTCTCTCAACATTCCACGACCTCCATGCAATCGATTCCACCGATTTCAACGCTTTCCGTACTTTCTCGTGTTCTTTTACCATTCTAAGAAGAAACAGAAAAAGAAAAAACACAATATACAGATTTTCTTGTATTTTTCATTTTTTTTTTCTTTTTTTTTTCTTTTTTTCTTCTCAATCATACATTTGATAACTTTTTATTTTATTCTCAATCAATTATGATTCTCATTTCCGTACTTTCAAACGTTTTCTCTTTTCACAGTTGTTTCATAGTTGATTGTAGTTAAAAAAATCTACAATCAAACTCGGATCATTCATTTCTTTGCTGTTTCAAGTTTCTAGGTTTGACTTTCTTCAATTTCCTTGTTTTTTCTTCTCTCTTTTCTTTTTTTTTTTTGTAAACATATGCTATACTTTAATTATAAATGATAAAATCAAATTTTGATTTAATTTTAAAAATAAAGTCTTACGTCAGTTAATCAATAAAATTAATTACGAATTAGATAATTTTTTGTTTAATTACTGTTATTTTTTTTTATAAATAATATTTTAATGAACAATTAATTATCTTATATAATTGTATATTTTTTGTATTTATAGATATTAAATTTAAATACTAATTTTTAATTAGAAACACGAGTATTGGTAATTAGTTAATTGCTTTTGTAAACATTAATTAACACTAAACCTACTACGTGAGGTCAAATGAACGGTGTGTCCTGTAATTTGTGTGTATGTGTGTGTGTAAAATTTTATAAATAAAATATTATATTTAAAATATATCTTCATATTTAAAAATAAATAATAAAATCTTTTATTCACTTTATCTAATTATCTAAAATAATATTAGAAGAAACTATAAACAGTATTTTTAATTTTATACCTAATATAGTATATGTAAAAAAAAAAATTAAAATAAAATAAAATAAAATATATAAAACAATATCTATATATATATATTATAAATAAAATTAATATTTTATAATAAATTTTGTGTAGATATTATTTATATATATATAATAAATATAAATATTTATATTATGTAACAAAAATAAATTTAAATATATGTATATAAATAATATCTACACAAAAATTGTATATAAAATATTAATTTTTGATTAAAAAATAACAAATAACAAATAACAATAATTAGCTAATTGCTTTCTCAAATATTCAAATGACTCCATGACACAATATACCCTAAATTAGCAAACAGTGTGTTCTCCAATAGTCATCGAATAATTATATTCCTATTATTATTATCATCCTCGTCATTAGATATCAATTATAAAATTATAATTATAATTATAATTATAATTATAATAGTTGTTGGTATTTGTCAAATTTTTCCTTTAGAAACTTCTCGAGATATTCGTACGATAAAACAAGTCTATTTATCTATCCTATGTATCCTCTTTCTATCATAGTACTTGGCTATTATCGATCGATTCCCGTATAAAACAGGAGGAGGACGAGAAAGAGGAGAGTTGGGGAGGGGAAGGGAAGGGAAGGGAAGGGAGAGTATTCGTGAAAGTTAGAAAGCCGTTTTGCCGCATCCATCCATTGGCTCTTGGGGTTCCCTCTCGGCATTGCACTTTCTCGGTTACACATCCATTATCATAGCGGTTAGTAGCTCAATTTCGTTTATTATTACATCACCAATAATATTATACTTTTGTTTAAATGCTTAAAACACTTCCCTATCAGTTCCCATAAATTTTCTTTCAATATTTTTTACTATTACTTATGAATCATAAATCGAAAACGAACGAAATTAACGAAGAACTTGAGTAAAAAAAAAACATCAATTTTGGCAATGTCAATAAATTTACTCAGCTTATGGTTGCTGTCTAGGTGCTGGAAAATCAGGATATACAGGACAATCATCCTACCGGTAGTCCTTTGTGATGGGAGGACAATATTATTTTGGGATTTTAAAGAAATTGGCTACGAGGACCACGAATGGTGGAGTCAAGCTCGGGGACGAGAACACTGCTGGGATTTTGGTATTTGTGGTAATGAACTTTCGAGTCCATAGTGTTAATTAATAATAATAATAATAATAATAGTTGCTGAAAAAGTTTTAATAAAAAAACTAAATGTTCAAAAGGATCAAAAATAAATATTCATGGATTTTTTTTTTTTTTTCTTTTTTACCTGTCCAACTTTCCTAAGATACAAAGTTTTTCTATATTTTATTTCGAAAGATTAAAAATTGATTTCTATGTAAAGCTTTTTTCTCAATTTTTTAAACCCGTTCACATAATTTATATAAAATCAAAAAATTATTTTATAAATAATTAATATTTATTATAATTTAATGTTTATTTAATTTAGTTTTTGTAATTTTTATAAAAAAAAAAAAATACATATTACACTTGTGGATTTCAATCAAATAATTTGCAATAATTTTAACGAAATATCTGTCAAAGTTTACACTTTTATAATTTGATATGTGTGTGTGTGTGTGTGTATATATTTAATTTTATTATAATTTACATTTTTTCTAATTGTATTTTATCCATTATACTTTTCTTATCTTTACTTTCTTGTTCTTATTCTTTTTTTGTTCTTCCATTTCAACGTTCCAATTGTATTTTTTCTTTTCATATTAAAATCGTGAACTTTAAGGGCGGGGGGGGGGNTAGGGGAAACAAAGAAATTTTCTGAATTTGGAAGGTTTCTTCCTTTTCTTTCTTCATTCTTTAAAGGGAACATTTTTTTCTATTACTTTTCTTTTTTTTTTTTGTTTTTTTTTTGTTCCTTCCTATTTTTAAGGATTCTATTTTGCGAATGTTTTCCCTTTGTCTATCAAGAGAGAAAACGGAGGGTGGTAAGGAGGGTGGCTGAGTGTTGGAACAAGAGAAAGAAGGGTTGTCTCATTGAGAACGTCATTTCTTATCCGAAATCCTTTCACCCTTATTCTTCTTCTTCTTCTTCTTCTTCTTCTATTTTCTATTTTTCGATAGAAGTGGAAGATCGAAAATACGAGTTTTCGTGATAAGAGAATATTTGTTTTTGTACGGATAGATTCTGTTTGTTTGTTTGTTTGTTTGTTCGTGTGCACGTGCAGGTGCACGTGTGTGTTGATGTGGACGGATGAAAATTCAAACCTTTTTTTTCTTTTTTTCATTTTTTTTCTTTTCTGTCTATCTACTCTCAAAAAAGATTTTTTCGAAAAACTTTTCTCCTTGCGTTGGTGGTTACTTGTATACATATATATATATGTGTGTATACATAGAACACAGATACATCAGTAGCTTTATGAACGATCGAAAAGATAAAGTGAGAGAAAGAAGAAAGGGTGTGAGGGTTGGTAGAAAGGGAAAAAAAGGGGTGAGAGTGAAATAAGGGTAGTTCTTTTCCATCGAGAAACGAGTTGTTCCCTTCCACCGCTTCGATATTTCTCTTTTTCTTTGTTTACCACCATTGTTTGTTTTAAGTTTTTGAAAAATATTCTTCTATCTGTATGCGTTAGTTTAATTATTATTAATTCTACTTGTGAAATAACTTTGATTATTATATTGTTACTTTTTTTTTATTTATTGTGTGTGTGTGTGTGTGTGTGCATGAGTGTTTTTCATTTTGATTTATTCGACTACTTTTTATCTTTCTTCTCTCGGTTACTTATATAAAATAATTATTTATTATAATTTAACGTTTATTTAATTAAGTTTTTTAATTTTTATAAAGAAAAAATATGGCATTGAATTTAAATGAAATAATTTGCAATAATTGTAATGAAATATCTGTCAAAGGTTACAAACCTTTATAATTTGATGTGTGTGTTTTTTTTTATTTAATTTATTTAGTTATTTTTGTTGTTTTTTCAATGACTTTTACAAAATTAATATTTATTATAATTTAACATTTATTTAATTTAGTTTTTTGTAATTTTTATAACGAAAAAATATGGTATTGAATTTAAATGAAATAATTTGCAATAATTTAATGAAATATCTGTCAAAGGTTACAACACACCTTTATAATTTGATGTGTGTGTTTTTTTTTATTTAATTTATTTAGTTATTTTTTTTTCTTTTTTCAATAACTTTTACAAAATTAATATTTATTATAATTTAACATTTAAAATTAAAATACATTTAAAGTTTACAATACTTTTAAACTTATTATCGTATTTAATATAATTTATATATTATAATTTTTGTCTTTTGTAGCAATTAATTAATAAACATTTAATTATTAGAAATTTAAATATATAATATATAAATATATTTGTAAATTTATTTAAATATATTTCTTTAAATATTTATATTAATTATAATTATACAATAATAATTAAAAAAAAAAAAAGAATAAAAGAAAATTTGTGCAAGTTAAAAAAAAGCAATAAACTAATTGTACACTAATTACTCGAAGTAAATAATTTTCAAACTTAGAAACAATATTATAGAAGCTTAATTAGATGTAAACATTGTAGTATTAGATAAAAAATGAGAAAGAACGAGAATTTGAATGTTGAATCTTCATTTTCTTTTTGTTCTGAATGAATCAAAAATGCATCTTCATCATTTTAAACATATACTCGAAATTGTTGGAAAATTCAACCACCCTGGAAAATAATGTCAAGGATATTGGATCGTTCATACCGAAGATTGTTCCTACCACTATGCTCACCCCTCACCCCCGCGTTGTTAATCGTGAAATCATGAAAATAACGAAATTTTCAACTTTGACCTTTCAAATATATATACGTATATCAAACGTGAAGGACCATACGTTTAATACGCATATTAATATATATATATATATATATATATATATATATATATATATAAATAATGCATAAATATAATGCAATAAGTTTGTATGCAAATATACAAGGTGTGTTCCTTTTCTTCGATAGTCATATTTTCTTCCTATCATTAATTAAATCTATTCAAATATGGCATATTGTATGCATGCTGATATTTAAAAAAAAAAAAAGGTACGAGGATTCACGATTCACATTTTTGTTCTTTTTTTTTTTCATTTTCTTTTTCTTTTTTCATTCATTTCGGTTTTTTTCTTTTTTCTAATACATCAAACGCGTATTAAAAGTGTCACCTCTTTTATTTAATTTTTGTTTTTTGTTTTTAACGAATTTCAAATTTTACATACAAATTTTAAACGATATTACAAATTGTTTACGTTAGCATTATTATGACCGTTCAATTAATAATTTGTTAAATATTCAAACCTAGCGAAATACCTTTCAACCGTAATTATAATATCATAGTACAAATATTTGGTTAGCAGTGAAAATTTGTATCGAATTATAAATGTATGTATATATATATATGTATATAAATAATAAAATAATAATGAATTTACTATCGAATGAAATATAATATGTCAAATCAAATTACATTAATTTGACATGAAACATTATTTAATAATTAATTGAAATCGATTAAAATAAATGTGTCATTTGATGTATCTCAAAATAAAATTAAAAAAAAAAAAACAACAACAAATTGAGAAACAATATTTCAACTTTTGCTTTTTATCTTACATACACATACACACACAGAGAAATAATTTAATTAATTGAAATCGATTGAAATAAATGTGTCATTTGATGTATCCCAAAATAAAATAAAAAAGAAGAAATTGAAGAACAGTATTTGCATTTTGTCTTTTTTCTTGTCCACCTCTTTTTATCTTACACACCTATACATGTACACATACAAATACATGTTCATATATAATACATAATATATATGTACATGTATATGTATATGTATATGTATTTTAGTGGGTGTACATCAAACGTTTAGGGGGAACAAGTGCATATCAAAAGCTTTCTCCACGAGTGAACTTCAAAAGAGTCCAGGTGCCGGCTACCGAACTATAGTTAAAAACATTTAATAGAGTCGATTTCGTTATGTATTATTATAGTTCTTCCATACCTTTGTTTTCCACCAAACAGTCCAACAATAGTGTCGCACAGTACCGATGGTAACCATTCAAGAAAAAGTACCATTATCCAATGTAACCAACCGATACCTGTTATTCCACGAATTCCAAATGTCGGGTAGGGAAACTTTTTAGCAGCCTGTTGACCTTTCGTAATTAGGTCACCCCATGTACAACCAATCGTTGCGGTATTGTACACAATTGCACCGACATCTTTTGAACTATATTGTAAAACAAATCAACATTTTAATCATTATTTTTATTATAACTAATCAAAGAAAAATTTCATTTTATCTATTCAATTGTTAACATTGCATATTTATCATTAACACGTTTCATGTTAAGCCCTTTTTACCTGAATTGTCTCATTTAGACCATTTAATTTTGCTTTAACAAAATCAATTAATACATGTAATTATGAATTATTGTAAATATAATAAATAAACAAACTTATGTGCTTTGTTGTGCTATACTGCATTTTGTATAATGTATCAATATTTTAATAGAAATATTCTTTAGCAGGTAATATCGTACATCCGGAGTTATTTAGGTGGCAAGAACTGATGAATCACCCTGTATATTTTCCAAATAGGATTTGGATTGATATAAACTATGCCAAATTCATATCAGCAGTATGTATGATTATGATTCGTAGGAATTTCCTAACTATTGTTCTCGTATTCAATAATTACCGTGCTTTTTGTACGTGTGAATGGATTGCATATTTTAGTAATTCGAATTAATTATTATTATTATTATTATTATTATTTCTATTGTTAATACGATCGTAGGTAAATATTGTAAAACTTCGTAATTAAGTATATTATTACGAATTTTTTTTTTCTATACAAAATTTCATTGTTCATCTTCGAATAAAAGCTCGTTAATTAAAATCAATCCTAAGTGATGATGGTGGGATGGGGTTGGGTGGGGGATTAGAGAAAAAACTAACAAATATTCTCTACAGTCAGGAATTTTTTGTTTTTTTTTTTAATCTCCGTTACTACTTCGTTTTATTGTCCTATATATTTTTTTATATCCCTTTTTTTGTATCTAAACATTTTTTTTTGAAAAAAAAAAATAAAAAAGATTCCGACAAGCTGACGCGTTAAATGGCTTTTCACGGGAATGTTGCAAAGTTGTATTTTTTCTTTTTTTTTTTACTTTTTTTCTTTTTTGGTGAGGTATGATATCGGTGACTCGGGAATTTTCCGTTCGTACGATTAGCTTCCCTTTCCAACCTTTCCCTTTCCCTTTCCTACCCTTCCCTTCCCTTCCCTTTCTTTCCATTCCCTATCCTTCCGTTTCGTTCATGTAGCCAACGTTAGTCGCATTCGACTTTTAAAAGGAAAATACCTAAGTATAGTGCACCGGAGATATCTCTTTTAGAGGTCGAATGCAATCAGCTTATGCGAGGGGGTTCAGTCGTTCGGAAATACTTCAGAGAAAGATAGAAAGATAAAATAGACAGAGAAAGAGAGAGAAAGAGAGAGAGAGAGAGAGAAATGAGAGAGAAGGAAGGAAGGAAGGAATGTGAAAGACCTACAGGTTGAAATTGCTAGCAAACGTAAGGTTTTTAGTCGTGAAAGCCAGTAAAACTCTAGGGTTGGCTCAGCCCTTCGTTTCTCTTCGATTGCTGCTGCCCTAGTCCTAGTCCTCGTCCTCGTCCTCATCCTCATCCACGTTCACGTTCACGTTCACGTTCACGTTCACGTCCTCATTCTCGTTTCGTTTCGTTTCTACGACGACTTAAATAAAAGCTTAAAGGGTAAGTTCTGTGTCGTTTCAACGGAAAATTCCATATATGTTCGATTTTCGATAAATTACGTTGAAAAATGCTACTACCTCCATCCCCCATCTCTACCACCCCTCACCCTCTTTGCCATTCCTATAAAGTTGTATCTCTGTACAAATGTTACGTGTTTTACTTATATATGTGTGTACGTATTTTGTGTATTATTTATGTATAGATGTATATGTATATGTATATGTATATGTATATGTATATGTATATGCACTTCTAATCCAAACCAAAATTTTCTACATATATAATATGTATATTATTATTTGTACGTGTATATGTGTATAAAACGATTAATGCGATCGTGTTGTGGTGGTGGTTACCTCGGTGAGAGAATTTAATTAATATCTGGAAAATGATGGTTTAAATTACACCGTTATATTCGTACGGTACCTTCACTTTCTGATAAACTAGAAGGAAACTCATCATTTTATGGTATTAATGTTTATTATTGAATACTTATACAGAAGATTGAACTTTCATATTATTTATTAACCGATTGAATATTAATTTCTTCTTCTTCGTTTTTGTTTTTTTTGTTTCTTTTATTTAATAGAATTTCATTTTTCTTTTCTATTTCTTTCTTTTTCTGTTTCTTTAATTAATTTCTTCTTTTCATACAAATTTGTAATTGTTTTAATATAATGAAATGAAATGAAATCAAATGACATTATCATTTAATGTGTATCGTTGGTTTTTATCTCGTATTATACATTTTTTTTTGTCTTTTTTTTTTTATTTCATTTCAAATAAATCCTGACGATTTATATAATATTAGCCACGAATATTTTAATTAATTAACACGAAAATAGTAGCGAGCATACGTGTATACACGCTGTGTTGCGTAATTTTATAATATAATTTTAAAAGATATACACATACATACATTTTATAATTTTACCAGAGTGTTACGTACTAATGTAAAATATATTTTTTTTTTTGTAGAGGATTGAAAAACAAACAAAACAAGTTAAAAATGGATATTATTATACGAGCCCTTACACCGCTCACAAATTTCAATAAATATTTAACTTTAAATTTATTTAATTAATTATAATTGAACGTTCATTTTTCTAGAGGATGAAAACAAAATTATACAATAACAGAAAAGCAAAATAATTATAAAATACTATAATAAAGAAAAAATACAAAAAAAGAATTAGGAATAAATTATTATATGTTGTAGTAAAAATTAAAGTAACACGAGTTACACTTTTCCAAATTATTTAAAAACCTCGAAAAAAATATTCAGATATAAGAAAAAACAAAAGTTTAAAATAATAATTATTGAATAAAATAAATTAAAATTAAAAAAACAATTACCGTTGAGTCCTTTCCCAAGCAGCTGTAATCAACGTGTTGGTAACAATATCAATGGGAATCATTTCAGCTGAATTTTCAGGGTTACCCTTAACGTATCCAGCACCAACCATAAGTGCGGTTATTCCTTTAAATATTTCCACGTATCCTGGTATTGGTTCATGAATGGGTGGTGCAAGAAGTGGTACTCGTATCAATGTCAATGGTACGTTTGATGTATTTTCATTTTGAAGATATTCGTTTATGTGTCCTCTGTGTTTGAAAATCGTTGTTATGGCTGCCAATGTTTCCAATTTTGGCAATTCTTCGGCAAATTGAAATACCGCATCGTGTGGTCCAGCAGCGTGTAAAACAACGTTTATTTTTTTCTTCATGTTATCTCGATCTTTGTCATTCAATCCAAGACTATCGTAAATCAAATTTCCTTCATAAACTGTAACCCTTTTAATGGCATCTGGTATCTCTAGTCGTAGTCTAGCGTATCTAATTGTAAAATAATCCCAATTCATTTATTTTAATATAAAAATCATTAAATAAATCTAATTATATAAATTTATATAATTTATATATAGTAAATATATTTTATACATAATATATATTATAAATAAATAGTATATATAGTAATATGGCTCACAATCAGTCCGATACACACGTCTTTAAGTCAACGAATTACCTTATAATCATGACTCTTTGTTAATAAACAAATAATTCGCGATTAATAAAATAATATTGCGACTATAAATTGAGATATAAACTATCCTATCTTTCAAGTTGGATGAAATTGCACACAGTGTGCAAAATTTTATTAAAATCGGTTCAATAGTTTAGGAGTTCATTGCAGACAAACAACGTGACACGTAATTTATATATAGTAAATATATTGTATATATATTATAAATATTAGAAAAAAATAAATAATATATATATATATATATACAGTAAAATATATATATATATATATATATATAGTTTGCATTTGATTATAAAAATTTCCTTCTCTATTGTCACCTAACTAAATATATAATAATAATATTTTCATATAATTATTATGAATGATAAAATAATATAACACGCGAGAGAGAAAACAAAAAAAAAAGAAGAAAGAAAAAAGAAAAGACAAACAATCAATGATGATAAACGATCCATACAATTTATATTATTTAACAAATAAACGTAAATTGTTTGTACAATATATTCGATACACGACGAGTACAATATTTCTGATATAAATAATAACGCGTTAATTAATAAACACGTGGCAACAATTTGATTAAAAATACAAAAAAAAAAAAAAATAAACAAATAAATACAACAAAAATAGAAGGAAATAAAATATATATATATATATATATGTATATTATAAATAAAATCTGATATATAATTAAATAAAAAAATCACGAAGAAAATTGTTTAGGAAGACGATGAAAATATTCGTGAGAGAGAGAAAGAAAGTGGTTAATAATTATCTTAAAATGCTAAAAAACGTGAACGTGTTAATGAAAATAAATCTCAGATTAGTGGCCAAGTGCAAGAGAGAGAAAAAGAGAGAGAGAGAGAGAGAGAGAGAGAAATTGCAAGATAGATAGAGAAAGAGAAAGTGTAAGAGAGAGAAAGAAAGTGCAACAGAGAAAGAGAGAGAAAGTATAAGAGAGAGAGAAAGACAGGAAGTATAAAAGAGAGTGAGAGAGAAACAGAAAGTGCAACAGAGAAAGAGAGAGAAAGTGTAAGAGAGAGATAGAGAGAGAGAGAGAAAGATAGGAAGTATAAAAGAGAGTGAGAGAGAGACAGAAAGTGCAACAGAGAAAAGGAAAGAAAGTGTAAGAGATAGAGAGAGAGAGAGAGAGAGAGAGAGAGAGAAAGACAGGAAGTATAAAAGAGAGTGAGAGAGAGAAAGACTGGAAGTATAATAGAGAGTGAGAGAGAGACAGAAAGTACAAGAGAGAGAGAGAGAGAGAGAGAGAGAGAGAAAGAGAAATTGCGAGACAGTGTGAGAGAGAAATTATGAGAGAATGAGAGAGTAAGAGAGATAGAATGTTTCCGGTTGTGTTTAGTAGAGCAGTGAAGTCTCGCTTCACGTATTTCGCGATTCCACCTGGCTCGTTACGATGAACGATCACATATTACATATATGTGCACACATATATGTATGTATATATGTAATATAACAATCTAATTTATCCTATGTATGTATATGTATAAGATCTTCCTGCCTGTTTCGATTCAAAGTGGTATCGAATATATTCCCTCCTACATTCCCGTTCATTAATTCTACCAAAACACATTTGTCAGAATGTTAACTTTATGTTTTTTCTTTTTTTTTTTTTTGTACTTTTTTTTTTATATGTTAAAAAATTGCGATGATTTATCATTGACGTCATTTGATGAATGCTAATTATTATTATGATGCTATCGAAGAAACAAGGAATACATTATTCTGGTGTATATGAGAAATGACTTTTTCTTTAGAAAATGGTTTAGGTAATGGGTTTGAATGAGATAATGGTTGGTAGATAAGCTTGTAAAAGAACATTGTTAGTTGTTCGTAGTTTTTAATTATATATAATTTCAAAAGTATAATTGTTATATTATGGATTTTATATATTTATATGTTATATGTATTTATATATTTATTATGTGTGTTATATATTATATATTATATATTATAAACGTTATATTTTTTTTATACCATATATATTGTTAATTATGTTTTTTTATTTATATTGATTGCAAAAGAAAAAAAAATAATAAAACAAATTCGATTTTTATTTTAAACTCGAAATTCAATAATTTTAATGTTACATTAAATTTTTTATTATATATATATATGTAATATTTTATTAAATGAAATATTTGATAATTTGTATTTTGATTTTAATTTTGTTAAAATCAAACGATCAATTAATTTTATGAGAAAAATGTTACTTGTAATTAATTCACGTTACTTGATAGAAATTACATATGTAACGTTTAAATTTGTGCAAATTTAAAAAACATTTATTTTCCAATATTTTTACGCGAATAATAGGAAAAACAAAAGAACAAGAAAAAGTGATGAATTTTATAACACACAAAGGATAAAATGAAAAATGTTAAAAAAAGAAAGGAATAAAAAAAAAAAAGGAGTATTTAACATCGTGCAGTATTGCATTTGCATAATATGCAACTTCAAAGTGACACTTTTTATCAGGTCAATCATTTTTAAATGGTTTCAATGAAATTCCTTTTATTTTTTCTTCCTTCCTTTTTCTTTTTCTTTTTTTTTTTTCATTCTATCGAACGATTAGCTTCTCACCTAGAACGTTTATCTCTCTTTCTCTCTCTCTTTCTCTCTTTCTCTTTTAGTTTTTTTAATTTTTTTTTTTTTATCCCAGTACTTTCTCAATGACGTGCGAGACTGTTAACAGTGTATAAAAAAAAAGAAATAAATAAAAAAAAGAAAATTTATACAAGAAGGAAGAAACAGAAAAAGAAAAAACAAAACAAAAAAATCGGTCAAACGTTTCCAGAAGAAAAAAAATTTCTTTTCTTTTCATTTTTTTTTTTTTTTTCATTGCAATAGATAGATAGATAGATAGATGGATAGATAAAGAACGTTTGCTCGTTTTGTGGAACATCGGTGATCGATTTTCCCGTCAAAAAATTATGAAAAATGATGCCCAACCCTTTTTTTCTTCTTCTCCCTTGCGTGTAAAATAAACGAGCGCGAAAATTAAATCCTTCTTCTTTTCTTCCTTTTTTTTTAATTTTTATTTTTTTTAATTTTTTTTTTAATTTTTTTTAAATTAATTTTCTCGCGTTTTTTTCAGTCAAAGGGTGGCGGGGGGGGGCGGCGGCGAGAGGTTGGAAACTGGGGAATTGTAGGAAATGAAGGAGAGGGGTTAGGGGAGTTTTATGAGGAAACGAGAGAGTGAGGGGTTTTATGAGAGAGTGGGAGAAATGGGTGGGGTTGGGTGAGGGGGTTATTGGAAAGAACGTTGCAAGGTACGGACAAATATTTACACGTTTATTTCCATATTCGATATTCGAGAAATGTTGTTCGATTCTATGCGTGAGAGAAAGAGAAAGAGAAAGAGAGAGAGAAAGAGAGAGAGAGAAAAAGAGAAAATATATGCGGTTTTAAAGTGTGGGAGTGAGAAAAAGAATGAAGCCTCTATATGAACGAACGCGTATGAAGATGCGAAAGAAGTGAAAACAATAGAAACTTCAACGTTATGACCGGTTCCCGTTTGTGCTTTGTTTTCGTTATCATCGTTCGTTCATACGTACATGCGTATGTATATGTATATAATTGTGTGTATTTATATATACATATGTATATGTGTGTGTGTGTGGTATATGTGTTTACTAGGTGCAAATAAACGATCAATATTGAAATGACTTATTTTCTTTCCACCGGAATTATGCTTATCAGTAACGTCAGTATATGCTAAGCATTTTGCTTTATATGCATTTATGTATACTTATATATATATAGATATATGTATATAGTTAGATATATTAATAACTTACAAATTTGTCTATATAATGATAAAAGTAATCTAATATTGTAAATTATATATTATAGTTTTTGATTTTAAAATATTTAAAGTAATTTTATATAATGTTGTATTTTTGTGTTTTTTTTTCTATTGTGTAATTTAAAGAACATAAGATTTGTTTTTTAAATGTTTTTAATTATTAATTATTAATTATTAGTTATTTCAATTTTGGTATTGATATAGAATTTAATTATTGTTTAGAAATTGAAAGAAAGTTTTGTATTTTAGTTTTAAGATGCACTATTGTTTTAAAATATTTAAAATAATTTTATATAATGTATTTTTGTGTGTTTTTTTTTGGTATTGTGTAATTTAAAGAACATAAGATTTGTTTTTATAGAGTTTTTAATTATTAATTAGTTATTTCAATTTGTGTATTGATAAAGTATTAAAATATTGTTTAGTCATTGAAAGAAAGTTTTATATTTTAGTTTTAAAATGCACTTGATTTAGAAATATTTAAAGTAATTTTATTTAATGTTGTATTTTTTTTTTTGGTATTGTGTAATTTAAAGAACATAAGATTTGTTTTTATAGTGTTTTTAATTAATCATTAGTTATTTCAATTTTGGTATTGATATAGTATTAAATTATTGTTTAATTATCGAAAGAAAGTTTTATATTTTAATTTTAAAATGCACTCTTGTTTCAAAATATTTAAAATAATTTTATATAATGTTGTATTATTGTTTTCCTTTATTTTGTATCGCGTAATTCAAATAAAATAAGATTTGTTTTTATATTGTTTGTAATTTTGTTGTTGTTTAAATATTAGAATTATAATAAATTTGTGGAGACAAAATTAAAGAGAAATTTGTTCTGAAGTACCCAGGTGATGCGAAGATTTTTTTAATTCGTTCCTCATTCGTCGAATTATATCGGGTTCTAACAATAACGTGAACATTAACGTTTGGAAAGGTACGTAGTAATTTCTCGAGAAGATTTTGACCTAATTCACTGGTCACTCCGGTTAGGAGAATTTCACGATTCGTGTACCACTCGCGAAGAGACATGTTTCTTGACTGAGAGAGAAATAATCGACTAACTAACCATAAGTTCAAGGAATGAAACTTTCAAACTCACTACTGCGATACACTTATGCGTTCTTGTGTTGTTGTGTACATTTAAAGTAACGAGAAAGTTTTTTTGCCTATTTCTTTTTATTCTTCCTCCTTTTATTTTTCTTAATATAAACGTTGCATACCTTTGCAAAAAATGATGTAGAAATAAAACGAAGGTAGTTAGATAAACAGATCAACTAGTTTATGAATCATTTTATCGATAATTTTTTTTTTTTTTCTATTGTGCTATATTGAAAACAATTTTTTTTATTTGCTTTTATATTCTAATTTTCAGGTATAACAAGTCCCTTTTTTTTTTTTTTTCAATAATTACTTGTTTGCGTATATTTTTATTAAAATGTACTGGTAATGCATACAAGAGTAGTACGGAACAAGTGTTAATTATCTTTTATTATTATTATTATTATTATTATTATTATTATTATTATTATTATTATTATTATTATTATTACTATTATTATTATGCTTTTTCCATGTTATACATTTGAAATCAGATTTTGATGTCATTTTTATGCACGGAAAAAATAAAATGTAATTTAAAGAAGTAACGAGTTTCAAAGAAATATTATTAATACATTTATAATAATATTATTAATTATTTCATATATATATATATATATACACGAGGTTATAGTTTGATTTTAATTTTTCATTTGATTTTATTTTATTTAATTTTATTATTTTTATCTTTTCATAAAGTTACAACGATCTCAAATGCGGTACGTAATAAATGTTAATAAAATAATACAATATTTTATAATTAAAAATGTAATTATTTCTTAATTTTTTATTTTGATTATTATTAAATTTTTTATGAAGTTACAAACCTTTTGATGAAGTTAGAAATATTTAATAAAATATACAGGCTGATTCACTTTTCTGGTACTATCATACTTTCAGAGCTATCTAGTTGGCAAGAGCCGGTGAATCACCATGTATAATACACACATGTTATGTGTGTGAATATGTGAATAAAATTATACGTGTGTGTTACCATGAAGATAGCTATTAATATCCGTGTAAGGGTAGCTAAGATGAGAAGTTTCCAAGTTTTAGAATACGTTAATTAACTAATCGTTGATAAGTTCAACCCCGTATCATCAGATAACTTTATAAGGGTGTCTAAAGTACCATAACAAGATTTTCAATTTTATTATTAGTTTATGTATCCGGTTTCTCTTGACAAAGTTTAGGTTATTAAAATAGTTCAATAGTATGTCTGACCTTGGGGACCTCTTAAATTCAGACTGTCCGTTGGCAAATCACAACTCTTGGACTTTAGGACCCCTTTGAGTTTTATATGTGTTTACTTATTTAGCTTATTTACAAATTTAAATATATGCGGTAAAAAAAATTCTGTTATATTTTTTTGAAAGATGAGAAGGTAAACTAATAGCTTGTGTTTTCAATTTACGTTTTGTCGTAACATAAATCACCCCCTTTTTTTTTTGTTCATTAGTTTGCAAACTTCTCTTAAATTTATGTACTTCGGATATACGCAGACTAAATTCTAATTTTTTGTTCTCTAAATTGTTATATTATATATTTCTCGAGACAAAGAAAATAATTGCACGAGAATAAAATAAAAATATGTAATCATATAAACGATAATATTGTTAAAATATATATATAAAAAAAAAATGTATAAAAATTGTTTAATTATTATTTTAATTTCCTTTTTTTTTTTCTTGATTTTTATTTTTATTTGCAATATTGCACGATTTTCTTAATAAAGTTACGAGCACCGAATGAAATATGATGTAACCAACCATATTCGTAATATCGTTGCATATTTTATATGAATAAATCGTTATAGTTATTTTTTTTTTTAATTGCAATGTTGCATATATATATATACATATTTCGATAAAGAAAAATGTATGAGCACGGAATGAAGTATGTAATATTATTTTGCATGAATAAACGAAGTTTGGGGTGTTTCCTACTGGTGGTGTTTTTT